ACATTTTGTTACTGACTGTCAACCTCGCACATATGGTATATTATCATCTCTCACGCACTTTGTTATTGGCTATTAAGATAAATTATTTCAAATGCTGTTAGCTGTCCATATTGTTGTAAAATGTATAAATACCATGGCTTTCTTTATCGTTGTTGCACTTCAATACACAGTCACAGTCCAGCCTTTGTCTTTTGATATTTGCGTGCTTTACTAAATCGGAAGGTACGACAAGCAGATAGACAGATTAGTTCAGGCGCAGACAGAGCAAGGTGAAAACGTCTTCATTGAATTCCCTACAGTTATAACAAATTGGCGACGGGGTTTTACCTTAATTCAGTGCAGTTATAACAAACCTTAATTCATCGCAGTTATAGCAAGCAAACGACGACAGTTTTTATTCTGTTCAGCGCAACTATATAACATTTTTGACTGTGTTAATTACAACCCAATTACAATGTCTATCTCTCTGGACGATCTCAAATCTATCTTGCAGCAGCAGCAAGTTCAGAATGAAGCAGCTCAAATAAAATTAATCGAAGCTCTCACTCAGAAGCTGTCCATTCAAGTTCCATCAACATCTCATTCTGACAAATATGAAAGCATCTCAAATTCCATTAGTGAGTTCAACTACGACCCAATATCTGGTCTCGTATTTGATGCATGGTTCAATCGTTACGAAGACGTCTTCCGTATTGAATGCTACATGTTTGATGATGCTGCCAAAGTCCGATTGTTACTAAGAAAACTTGGTACTGCTGAGCACAACAGATATGTTAACTTCATTCTGCCTAAGAACCCACGTGAGTTATCATTCGATGAGACAGTCACCGTTTTATCACAAATCTTTGGTGAACAGTCATCCATGTTTAATATTCGGTATCAATGTTTTCAGTTGACAAAAATGCCTTCCGATGATTATGTCACTTACGCTGGCAAAGTGAACAAGGAATGTGAAAGGTTCAAACCACACGAAATGACATCAGATCAGTTCAAGTGTTTGATTTTTATTTGTGGGTTGAAGAACCCAGAAGATACTGACATACGAACTCGACTTCTGTCACTCGTGGAACAAGACCCGAAAATGACTTTACAAATGGTGACAGCAGAATGCCTACGTTTAATCAACTTGAAGCACGATACTGCTATGGTGGAGTGCAAACGACAGTCGTCTGAATTTGGTTCGATTAACACAGTGAAAAGTCCTCCGATCACCGTTAAGCACACAGAACGTCAGTCTCAAAATTCAGCTAAACCTCCTTCAGTGTGCTGGCACTGTGGTTCGTGGCATTTTGTCAAGTTCTGTCCTTTCAAGAAGCATAAATGCCGTAATTGTCACCGTTTTGGACATAAGGAGGGTTACTGTACACCGCAGAAAAATCCTTCGGTGAGGAACAGAAGTAGTTCTTTCAAGCCGAAACAATCTCCGCGAGTACAGACCATTTATACAACTTCCAAAGTCGAGTTCGCCAGCAAACGTAAGTACATAACACTAGATATTAACGGCAAACGTATTCGTCTTCAGTTGGATACGGCATCAGATATCACCGTAATTTCCCGAACTACGTGGCGCAAACTTGGTTGCCCACAGATTCTGCCGACCGAGCATGTCGCCAAGAATGTCTCTGGAGATATACTGAAACTCGTGGGTGAGATAAATTGCCAGGTTCAGTTTGGTGAGCATCACTTCAATGGTGTATGTTACGTTACAAACTACCATGATTTGAATTTGCTTGGTCTTGACTGGTTAGACAAGCTCCATATCTTTAATGTACCATTAAATTCAGTATGCTCTAATGTTTCGTCTTCACCACACAACGTTGTTCCCGGAGATGTATCTGACCAATCTCTCTGGCAACGCCGTCGTCAAAAGCACGCTTCTGTCTTCCAGGACAAACTTGGTTGCTGCAAACTGTTTGGCATCCAGCATATTCGTAGCCCCCCGTATCATCCCCAATCGAATGGACAGACTGAACGTTTCGTCGACACCCTTAAGCGTGCTTATGCAAAAGCGAAGGGGGAGGGAACAACAGAAGAAATTTTGGATAAATTCTTGCTGCATTATCGTACGAATGAAAAAGGACAGTTATGTGTCAGACACACAGATCACGCTCTATCCAGTACCACGCAAAGGTCAACTCGACAAAGAAGAGCTCCGAAACCTTTTCAAATAGATCCAAAAAGCAAGTCCTACACTCTTTACGGGGGAGGTGATAGGATCCCACATATTTTGGTATTGACTGTTTAATCTTGCATATATGGTATGTTATCATTCTCACACATTTTGTTACTGACTGTCAACCTCGCACATATGGTATATTATCATCTCTCACGCACTTTGTTATTGGCTATTAAGATAAATTATTTCAAATGCTGTTAGCTGTCCATATTGTTGTAAAATGTATAAATACCATGGCTTTCTTTATCGTTGTTGCACTTCAATACACAGTCACAGTCCAGCCTTTGTCTTTTGATATTTGCGTGCTTTACTAAATCGGAAGGTACGACAAGCAGATAGACAGATTAGTTCAGGCGCAGACAGAGCAAGGTGAAAACGTCTTCATTGAATTCCCTACAGTTATAACAAATTGGCGACGGGGTTTTACCTTAATTCAGTGCAGTTATAACAAACCTTAATTCATCGCAGTTATAGCAAGCAAACGACGACAGTTTTTATTCTGTTCAGCGCAACTATATAACATTTTTGACTGTGTTAATTACAACCCAATTACAATGTCTATCTCTCTGGACGATCTCAAATCTATCTTGCAGCAGCAGCAAGTTCAGAATGAAGCAGCTCAAATAAAATTAATCGAAGCTCTCACTCAGAAGCTGTCCATTCAAGTTCCATCAACATCTCATTCTGACAAATATGAAAGCATCTCAAATTCCATTAGTGAGTTCAACTACGACCCAATATCTGGTCTCGTATTTGATGCATGGTTCAATCGTTACGAAGACGTCTTCCGTATTGAATGCTACATGTTTGATGATGCTGCCAAAGTCCGATTGTTACTAAGAAAACTTGGTACTGCTGAGCACAACAGATATGTTAACTTCATTCTGCCTAAGAACCCACGTGAGTTATCATTCGATGAGACAGTCACCGTTTTATCACAAATCTTTGGTGAACAGTCATCCATGTTTAATATTCGGTATCAATGTTTTCAGTTGACAAAAATGCCTTCCGATGATTATGTCACTTACGCTGGCAAAGTGAACAAGGAATGTGAAAGGTTCAAACCACACGAAATGACATCAGATCAGTTCAAGTGTTTGATTTTTATTTGTGGGTTGAAGAACCCAGAAGATACTGACATACGAACTCGACTTCTGTCACTCGTGGAACAAGACCCGAAAATGACTTTACAAATGGTGACAGCAGAATGCCTACGTTTAATCAACTTGAAGCACGATACTGCTATGGTGGAGTGCAAACGACAGTCGTCTGAATTTGGTTCGATTAACACAGTGAAAAGTCCTCCGATCACCGTTAAGCACACAGAACGTCAGTCTCAAAATTCAGCTAAACCTCCTTCAGTGTGCTGGCACTGTGGTTCGTGGCATTTTGTCAAGTTCTGTCCTTTCAAGAAGCATAAATGCCGTAATTGTCACCGTTTTGGACATAAGGAGGGTTACTGTACACCGCAGAAAAATCCTTCGGTGAGGAACAGAAGTAGTTCTTTCAAGCCGAAACAATCTCCGCGAGTACAGACCATTTATACAACTTCCAAAGTCGAGTTCGCCAGCAAACGTAAGTACATAACACTAGATATTAACGGCAAACGTATTCGTCTTCAGTTGGATACGGCATCAGATATCACCGTAATTTCCCGAACTACGTGGCGCAAACTTGGTTGCCCACAGATTCTGCCGACCGAGCATGTCGCCAAGAATGTCTCTGGAGATATACTGAAACTCGTGGGTGAGATAAATTGCCAGGTTCAGTTTGGTGAGCATCACTTCAATGGTGTATGTTACGTTACAAACTACCATGATTTGAATTTGCTTGGTCTTGACTGGTTAGACAAGCTCCATATCTTTAATGTACCATTAAATTCAGTATGCTCTAATGTTTCGTCTTCACCACACAACGTTGTTCCCGGAGATGTATCTGACCAATCTCTCTGGCAACGCCGTCGTCAAAAGCACGCTTCTGTCTTCCAGGACAAACTTGGTTGCTGCAAACTGTTTGGCATCCAGCATATTCGTAGCCCCCCGTATCATCCCCAATCGAATGGACAGACTGAACGTTTCGTCGACACCCTTAAGCGTGCTTATGCAAAAGCGAAGGGGGAGGGAACAACAGAAGAAATTTTGGATAAATTCTTGCTGCATTATCGTACGAATGAAAAAGGACAGTTATGTGTCAGACACACAGATCACGCTCTATCCAGTACCACGCAAAGGTCAACTCGACAAAGAAGAGCTCCGAAACCTTTTCAAATAGATCCAAAAAGCAAGTCCTACACTCTTTACGGGGGGAGGTGATAGGATCCCACATATTTTGGTATTGACTGTTTAATCTTGCATATATGGTATGTTATCATTCTCACACATTTTGTTTTTTTTTTTTTTTTTTTTTTTTTTTTTTTTTTTTTTTTTTTTTTTTTTTTACTGACTGTCAACCTCGCACATATGGTATATTATCATCTCTCACGCACTTTGTTATTGGCTATTAAGATAAATTATTTCAAATGCTGTTAGCTGTCCATATTGTTGTAAAATGTATAAATACCATGGCTTTCTTTATCGTTGTTGCACTTCAATACACAGTCACAGTCCAGCCTTTGTCTTTTGATATTTGCGTGCTTTACTAAATCGGAAGGTACGACAAGCAGATAGACAGATTAGTTCAGGCGCAGACAGAGCAAGGTGAAAACGTCTTCATTCAATACCCTACCGTTATAACAAATTGGCGACGGGGTTTTACCTTAATTCATTGCAGCTATAACAGTATGTATGTATAGAACAATAAATAATCCTCTTTTTATTTATCTTACCTTATATAATAAGAAGGCACAGAATCCGGCAAGCACGGAGAACATAGTAGCAATTAAGAGCATAAAAATGCCAACACCATCATGATGATTCAAAGTTTTGATCCCATTGATCCAACCACTGAAGCAAAAACAGAAGGAAATATAAAAACAAGACAAAATTGTTAGTATACCCCCCACCCCCCCACAGAGCCCTCTTCCCTCTAAACTTTTAAAAATTATAATCTTCCAAATTATTTTATTATTTTTTCTGACTATTTCATCTTTAATTTACGTGTTATCCTTGTAAAACTAATTTATTCTAACCATTTCTACCTTTTAATCGGATTTGTTAATTTTCTTCGTTAATTATCAACTCAATGCTTGACATGTTGACACCGACTAATTATTTTTAACAAACATATCGGGGCCGCTTGATGATTGGTAAACTGTTGTGTATTGTAATAAAAGTGCTATAAATGTATATTAGAGTAGAGCCAGAGCGAGATGAAGATCTAATTGAAAAGTGTTACATGGATGGAGGCAATCGGCCACAGGAAGCCTTGACTAGACCCAAGGTTTCGTGCACTCATCAGCAAGGGGTATCTGCAACCTCGGAGGGACTCATATCCCTTCTGAGATTCGAACCCGCGTCACCTAGTGAGTACTGTAGTCAGAGACGTTACCACTGTGCGTCGGTGGCACAGTGGTTAGGACTCTCGCTGACCATGCACGTGGTCCGAGGTTTGAGCCCACGCCGGCGCACACCTGATATCTATAGTCGGCCTGCAAAATTTGGGCTACCGATATCCATGCTGAAAATTCCATACTTGTACCAAAAATACGGTGTGGAATCAAGCTGTAATCAAAAATAAAAAAAATAAATAAAATAATTCGGGCTCGCGATTGACCTCCTGTGGGACTGTAGCACTGGGTGACGCGGGTTCGAATCTCAGAAAGGACATGTGAGTTAGTTCCTTGAAGGTTGCAGATACGCCTTGCTGACTGACTGGTGAGTGCCAACTAGCACGAAACCTAGGTGAGGAGGGGCTTCCCCGTAGCCGATTGCCTCCAACCATCTAATAACATCAAATCAATGTGCACCGTGATGTCCAGCTACCTAGAATGGTGGCCACATTGAAAACCTGACTGACTGACAGAATTCAGTCTGCATCAAACAACCAAAGGACTAGACACATCAGACTAGTTACTGACTAGTGTCTAATTAAAATAATTGAAAAGCAAAATATTCATTCGCTTGCTCGATCTTTCTGTTTTCTAAATGGTAAAATTGTAGGTCGTATGAGTCAACATGGGTCAACACCAACACCAACAAACACCCAAACAAATTAAAACAAAACTCACCATGATCCGAGATAATCAATACCAAGACATTGGATTAAAATGACAATTGTTTGAGCAGAGAAGAAGATGAAAAATATCATATAATTAATTGAACTGTCTGACCTATTGAAAGTTGGTTAGATAAACAGAGAGAAAGGCAGAAAAAGAAAGGGAGTTAGGGTGGATATGCAATAACACTTGTGATTATTATCATATGTCAGTTTTACATGTTCCGTCTTATATGCGCGCTTCAATTAGAGTAAGGAGAAATGCGTGTCTTCCTACATTGTATTTTGTATAAGAACAGACCTACTGAGGTTAATCTAATACAAAAAAAGATCATTCAGGAACACAACACAATAGGCGAACAAACAGACAGTCAATCAATTAATCGGGGAAGGGGCATATATCAATAAATTATATCACAATCAATGAGAATAGGGTAGAAATTCTTTGTTTTTTACATATATTTCTATACATATAAACTTATTATGCTTAATTTTTAAAAGTTAGTGGGTGTATTGATTGGGCATTGATTTTATTTCAAGTGTGACTATGGATCGATATTAGTCACACAAAAGAAAACCCCCCACCGGACAGCTGTGTTTCTTCCGCTTGGCATGGGACTCATTGGCAGGACACACTCACCTCAGGGGTTTGACGCACACAGGACCATCTGGTTACAGGTCAAGCCCGTAGACCATTCAACAGCAACTGGAATCAGACCCAATGTTTTATAATTTTTAAGTCGTGACTAATAAGTCGGCTGTACCACTAGGTCGGGAGTGAGGGCATATACTCACCAGCGATAATATTGACCAGTACCAGTTGCTCTAAAATCATGAATTGGTAGAAGTTAGAATTCATGGGTTGGTCATTGAGTCGGGGTCTCACCCAGTGGCTGAATGGCCCACAAGCTCGCCTTGTAACCGGAAGGTCGTGGGTTCAAACCTCCTGTGGTGAGTGCGTTCTATTGATGAGTCCTGAACTTGGAGGCAAAACAGCTAGCTGTCCACTACTCCACTCCAGTGCTGATTTTCAATGGTTCTCTATCTAACTGATCTTAATCCATGATCAAATCTGAGATCAAACTACTATGCTATGCCCGTCATTTTGGTAATCGAACAGTATACACAAACACACACACACAATCAATTGCAATTCTACAAGTGGATTCAATAAATTACCAATAAAGTTTTTGACTTTAACTGCACACGGTTAATGTGGTTTTCAATCAGTTAGAGAAAAAGAGATTTTTGTAAGCTTTCAAGTAATGAATGAGTACAAAAACGCGTACCAGACCTACGCCTTCCTTTAAATGGCATTCCCCGACCGAAAGCTGCTACCTTGACGTGGTGGTCGGGCTTGAACACCGCAATGATCTATTCAAGCTATACTGGCTGAGACTTATGTCTCTTGAGGTACTACCATGCCAGGCAGGTTGTTTGGATAGCGGTTAAACAAAAAGCAGCTACCCAATCCAACATCATGTCCAATACAAAATCACAAAATTTCATGCCGGATCGGCCGTGGCCCGGATTAACAACGACCGCGCTTCCTGCTGCCGTGTCACAGGGCGGGAGTGATAAATCTGCTACTGAGACACACCAAACAAAAAAGAACAAACAAAAACAGGCCGCGTGTGACCGGCCTCAAGCAGTTGTCCCCTGGGCTCTGCGGTCACGCAACCAACTTCCACGGTGTGGGCAGCCGGGAAGTAACAATCGCCCTCACAATCCGAAATGCACACGAAACCTCTCTATTACTCACTCATCTTTGTCTTCATCTTCATCTCTATCATCTTGCCTTCCTTCCACTGATGCAACTCCTCGACTTGATAGCTCTCCACTTCCTCTCCACTCTGCGTCCACTAAAAACGATGGAAGCCAAAAAACCACCACCGACAGCCTCTTAAAGCCGCGCCACCAATTTCATATAGGAGCTCTTAATGTTAGGACACTTTGCCAAATAGGACAACAAGCATCACTAGCCAAGACCCTGGCATCACGAGCCATTGATGTATGCTGTGTTTCAGAAACACGCATACAAGACCCAAGTGTGGTTATTCACCTAACCCCACCTGGCCAACAGGTTGAATCTGCAAAATTCACCTTGAGGGTGTCAGGAGATGCCACAGCTAGTTCACGAGGATTAGCTGGCGTAGGGATAGCTTTGAGTACTAGGGCAGAAAAGACATTGCTTGACTGGATCCCGGTAGATAGCCGAATGTGTGCTGTCCGCCTGAACGGATCAGTAAGAAGGAGGAAGGACTGCACTACTCGCCGATGCCTTTTCGTAATCTCCGCCTACGCCCCCACTGACTGCAGTTCAGATGAAACGAAGGATGAGTTCTACCAAAAGCTGTCTAGTTTGGTGGAAAGGCTAAACGCTCAGACATAGTCGTTCTAGCTGGTGACTTTAACGCTCAAGTAGGGAAATTGTGTCAATCTGAGAAGGATGTCGGTGGCACCTATGGAGCTCCGTGCCAGCGAACCGACAACGGTGACCGTCTCCTACAGTTCTGCTCTGATAATCATTTGTTTCTTGTAAGCACTAACTTCAAACACAAGGAGAGACACTGTTTGACTTGGAGACCCCCTTCATCAAACCAACGCTGGACACAAATAGACCACATAGCAATAAGCTATCGTTGGCGTGGGTCGGTAGGAGATTGTCGCTCCTTCTGGAACACGTGCGTAGATACCGACCATGCACTGGTCCGCGCTCGGGTGTGCTTACGACTGAACGGACGTAGGAAACAGCTGGCGGTAAAACCATCACGTCCCCAGCTCGATCAGGAAACTAAATCCGTATTTGAGGAAGAACTAGCTAAACACATATCTGTGTTCGACAGCTGTGCTCACCCTGAAGAAGCTTGGAAAAATATCCAGGCAGCCATAGATACAGCTGTAAAAGCTGTGAATAAGGTAAACCCAAAGGTGAGTAAAAACCACTGGATCTCCACCGCCTCATCCGAACTGATAGATGCTAGAAGACTTATTCCGGCGAGCTCCGAATTCAATGAGGAGCGAAAGCTGCACAAGAGGAAACTTACGAAAAGTCTCCGCAAGGACCGTGAACAGTGGTGGGCGACAAAAGCCAAAGAGATGGAGAAAGCTTCGAGGATAGGCAACACCAGGCAACTCTTTGGACTCATCAGGGAAACGGGTGGGAGAAGACAAATCATCAGTGAGACAATCTCGGAAAAAAATGGCACTATAATTAGCTCACAGGATAGACGACTGGATCGTTGGAAAGAGCATTATGAGGAGCAGTTTAATTTGCCCACAGCCACGCTCAACCTTCCGAGCATCCAACACCTCCCTGAATGGGATATAGACACAGGTCCTCCGTCACTAACTGAGGTTACTAAAGCTGTCACCAATCTGAAACTAGGCAAAGCAGCGGGACCTGATGGAATGACTCCAGAGGTATTTAAGTACGGTGGAGACAGCTTACTGTCCGGATTAACTGAGGTACTAGGCAGCGTCTGGGAATCAGAAGAAGTCCCATCGGGTTGGTGTAAGTCACTGATTATCCCCATATACAAGAAGGGAGACAAGTCTTCCTGTGATAATCACAGAGGGATTAGCTTGACTAATATAGTATCTAAAGTCTTAGGCTCAATAATCATGCGTAGACTGAGTGGTGCTCGGGAAGCACAAACACGAGAGAGCCAGGCAGGCTTTAGACCAGGAAGAGGGTGTATTGATCATATCTTCACCCTCCGACAGATTCTAGAACATAGGCATTCCTACCGGCGTCCAACAGTCATTATATTTCTTGACCTAAAGGCAGCATTCGACTCTGTCGATCGGGAAGTTCTCTGGAGATGCTTGGCTGTAAAGGGAATTCCAAGAAAATATATTGCACTGATTAAGGCACTCTACTCGTACTCATACAGCCAGGTGAGGGCTTACGGCGAGCTGTCATCTGAACTGATGACGACCAGTGGTGTCCGTCAAGGATGCCCATTATCTCCTTTTCTATTCAACTTCATCATAGATGTGTTAATGGACTTAACCCTAGGTGACTTCAGCGACTCAGGGATTGACTTGCTACCGGGAATAATCTCGTTGACTTGGAATATGCAGACGATATAGTCCTTCTAGGCGAAGACGCTGACGAAATGCAGAGTCTTCTAAACACCTTGAGCCGCAATCTACGAATGTTTGGCATGCGATTCGCTCCCGCCAAATGCAAGATGATGTTACAGGACTGGACTACATCGACGCCTAGTTTAAAAATAGGAAGTGAAGTGGTAGAGCACGTTGACCGCTTCACTTATTTGGGAAGTACCATCAGCCCCAACGGGCTGATCTCTGACGAAATCTCAGCACGAATACAAGGGGCTCGTTTCGCATTTGTTAGTTTACGCCGACTCTGGCGTAGACGAGATGTTCGACTATCGACCAAAGGGCGGGTGTACTGCTCATCAGTCCGCTCCGTCCTCCTTTATGGTTGTGAGACCTGGCCACTGAGAGTGGAAGACATGAAAAGACTAGCTGTCTTTGATCATAGGTGCCTGCGTTCTATTTCCCGTGTAAAGTGGCATAATAAGGTGAGCAACATGGAGGTTAGGCGTAGAGTTCTAGGTAAACAGGGGAAATCAATCGACGAAGTCGTGAAGCTACAAAGACTGAGATGGTTAGGACATGTGTTACGTATGCCAAGCCATCGCCTCCCTCGACGAGCTATGTTAGCGGATATAGGGTCAGGCTGGAAAAAAGCTAGCGGCGGTCAAACAAAAACTTGGCACCAGTCAATGAAATCCACAACAGTTGGTCTAAGCCACGTAGGAAGGTGTAGACTTCCCGACTGGGGTCCTCGGGACGGTAAAAATCTATGGTCGGAAACAATTGGTGACATGGCTCAAAACCGTTCTCAGTGGCGCACATGCATCCACTCCCTGTGACTTATGATCTTCAATGAAACTGTTTTGTTATTCGTTATTACTCCTTTGTCTCACACCTCTGCTCACTGTTTCTATTATGCTTTTCTTGTACCTTCTTCTCTTGCTTCGCGTGCTACTTGGAGTGTGGCGACTTGAACTTCCGCACATTTGTGCAAAGTTCTATGTCGAAAACAGACAGACAGACAGACAAATGGCATTCAAAGAAGACCAAATCCCAAGAATAACTGTCCACACAATGAAAGTTGATTTCTTCCCGAGGTACTCCTGGGAAACTGAAAGAGCATTAATGTCGTGTGACTGCACAGTCGAAGATCTGTCTGAGCCTGTTTGAAGATCTTATCGCCGGCTACAAACTGCTAAAAAGTAAATTAGGTTATCTGATGAAAACACCCTGAATGATGTTACAATCCTATTTTCGCCAGCAGTAAAAGTGAGCCCACAGACAGACAACCCCCAACATACGATGGTAACTACTTTTAGTGTAACCGGCATCTAAACGGCCTTTCTAACATGGTAGGACCAGATTAACCTGTTGGGTCATTGCAATATGGAAACCCGGGGACCGCGTCAAGATGGCAGCCATCGGATGGGGATAAACAAATACCAGCTAGAGAACCATTGAAAACCAGTAGGGAGTTGTGGACAGCTGTTTCATCCTAGTTTCGGAATCATCGATAGGACGCACCCACCTCGACGGGATTCGAACCCAGGACCTTCCGGTTGTGAGGCAAGCTCGTGTACCATTCAGTCACTGGAACCCGAATCAATGACCAGTAGTACATGAATTCTACCTTCTACCAATTCTTGATTTAATGCGACCAACAACCAATGTCGTCGGTGGGACATCCATCCTCACACGTGAATCTGGATGGAACTCACTGCTCACGACTTCCCAGTGGCTGAATGGTTTACGAGCTTGTCTTGTGACCAGAAGGTCTTGGTTTCGAACCCCAGTGGGTGCGTCCTGCCGATGATTCCCAAATTAGGATGAAACAGCAGCTGTCCAGTACTCCCTGGTTTCAATGGTTCTCTAACTTATATCGATCCGTGATCAACTCGTAAAAACAAAACTAACCCTTACAGACGAAACTATAGAAAATAAACAAATATACTGGTGGTGGGAGGTTGATATTACAAAGATATATATTACTTACCTTAATGCTTTATACAAAGGCCGATGCCAACCGAAGAAGCTCAACGGAGGCATAACAAGAGTTAACAAGATAGATGCACCAAACAATGGTCCTTCAGCTGCACCAGTACCAACAATAAAATAGCCAAGTGTTCCACCCATATTGAGTATCAGTAAGGCAGCATAACCTAACCAAATTCCATAACCTGTTTTAGCCATCCATCGACAATCATACGGGATATCATTATCAAAATCTTGTCTAACACATGGTTTACATGGACAAAATGGTGGGAAAGGTGGCCAATTGTGTGGATCTAAAATTGGAAAAAAATATTTTACAAAAACATTACGATACTACTTATATCACTTTTAATACTACTAATAATAGGAATCAACAAAAATTCGGGTATATGCGTTGCGTCATTTCGCTTGCACTTGTGTGGTGCTGAGTAGATAAACAAAGATCCAGTGAACAGGCTCTCTTTCTCTGTCCACCTAGGGTGGCATACATCAACTTGAGCCACCTATGGCGCCGTCGCGACGTCAGCCTGGCTGTCAAAAGTCGGGTATACAATGCTTCGGTGCGGGCTGCCCTGCTCTACGCCTGTGAAACCTGGCCTCTCCGAGTAGGCTGAGGATGTGCGGCGGCGACTCTGCGTGTTCGATCATCGTTGTCTCCACAGAGTTGCTTGCTTTCGATGGATGGCATCATCGTGTGAGTAATTCTGAGGTTTGGCGGCGTGTGTTTGAACACACTGGAGATCACCATTCACATTGAGCCCACAGACGGGATGGAAAAGGAGGAGAGGGTGGTCAGTCCACGACGTGGCATTGTGAGATGAAGGATGTTTGTGCTAGATTAGACTCTCTAGTTGGGGTCCGCGAGACAGATCGTATCGATGGTTCGAAACGTTATCGGATATGGCCAAGAATCGCAGTCACTAATGGCGAACATGTTGCAATTTCCTTCTTTCTTTCCTTCCCGATGATAGTTAACAAACACTGTTTAAACTTGTTAAGCATGAATGTTTTCCTTCCAGATGAAGTTCTTTATCCGTTCTCTACTTATATTTCTTTTCTTTCCTTTTTTTCTTTTTGATCTATTTTGTTTTATTATTATTGTGTGGCACATCCTTCTTGATGCTATATTGTAACAAGTTTTTTTATGCGTCTAAATAAAATAGTGTAGTTTTGGAAGGTGAACACAGAGGAGACCATGTGAGAAAGAAATCATAGTTTGTGGGAAAACGTGGGGTCAGGTGAAGAGAACCGTGCAGACAGAACACAAAGTGAAGTGGAGATGTCCTGTGTTGAAGCTCATTCAGAACCCGAGGGATTAATCCCGAACCGATAGCTGCCTTGGCGTGGTGGTCGGGGGCTTGCACATCGCAATGACCCAACAAGCTACACTGGCTGGAACCAATGTTCCTGCAGGTCTACCTACCATGCCAGGAAGGTTGTTAGGATAGCGATTAGACTAAAAGCAGTTACCGGCATTTTGTATAAGAATCTTTCTTACACTATGCTGGGGGTCTGAGGGCGAAGTCGTACTGAAGGAGAACAGGGGTGTTACAGCAGTGAGGTGTTTCCCTCACATGACCATCATCATGCCAGCCAACCAGCTATGCTATCTCTCTACTCTGGAGGGGGAGAGGGGGTTAGAAAAAGTCGACCCCAACAATTGTATATCCCGACTCGCCCTGCGGTAGTGTCCGTAACCGGCGGTAAGTTTACTAATACGGAACCAAACCAAGAGACCAGTTCATACAGGCCGTGTGTGACCGGCCTGTCTCAAGCAATTGTCCCCTGGGCTCTGCGGTCACGCAACACTAACCCTCTCTCTCTCTCTGTTTCAGATGTCCGAAGAATCAAGCAACTTCGACGGTTTGAGGAGCAGCCGAGAAGTAATAACTACCCACACACTTCTAAAAGTGCACGAAGCTTTCCTGAGCATCATTCTCCTCTAGAGACGAGGGAATAATGATATAGTCAAACGGTTGGTTTTTTCCTCGCACAATGTAACATTCTGAGGAGCAAATAACAAGAGAAGAATGAAAACCAGACGAGTTTAGAGAATATCTCCCTCCCCCACGACTCCCTGTCTGTTAAACTCAATAATCACATACTTTTTTTGTTACTGACAAACAGACTGATTCGAATTTTCGTGTGTTGTGATCGCGAGTAATACTACTAATACTGCTACATTATATTCGGTTAAAATTTGTCAATTTTCTGAAAAACTGAACACACACACACACACTTTCTTTCTCTTGTCTTCTTCAAGGCACATTTGCAAGGTAAGTTATCATATGAAACGTGTATGGTATGTATGATATACAACAACAAGAAACGAATATAACTGTATTCATATGAATATTATATGAAAGTCTAATCGTTTACTTGCGTCAATCAGAGTGAGTCTTAACTGTGTACGACAAGAAGAGAAGCAGCAAAAGAGAAAAAAAAGCCAAACCCAAGTATGCTGTCGATTTAGAATAGCACAGCACAGCACACATTCTTCGTCTTCTACTCTGCGTCATCGTTAATGACGTCAAGAGGAGAGAGAAATACTCGTTGGCATTTTAAGAGAAAAAAAATAGGCTGCTCTCTCTATTGCTACCCCGCCCCCCTCCCTCCACTGTGTGCTACCCACCTCACCCCCCTATAACTGCACAACTGATTGATTGACTGATTGATCGGTCAGTGATGAGCACAATGTATTACAAAGCAGAGGTAGTAGTGGTGGTATGTATTGACAGAAGCGCAACAAGCGATTTCAGTGAAAAATGTGAACACACGCACCCACCCCTAAACACACACACACACACTTTGAAATAAAGTTGGGTGATAGAGCGTTTCATTCTTATAATGACACACGTATTTGTGCATTAAAAAAATCTTATCAATCAATCTATACAGAATTCTTAACAGTTATTATACTATACATGTTGAATTCTGCCTACTTGAGTAACAATTGAAAGTTATAGAAAGCCACAATTGGCGGGGCGGGAGTTGTTGGATAAAGTCTTCATTTTGTCAAATTTATTCTTTTTTCCCCGATATTCTCCTTGATTTTTGGTTATTTCTTATTATTGGAGTGACATGCTTCGAGAGAATGCCTTAGTCAAGTGTTGGTTTGTAGGGATTCGACTGGTTACAGAATTTCGTCATGAGCTGACATTAGTTAGAGAACCATTGGAAAACCTGCTAGGGAGTACTGGACAGCTGTCTCGTCCTAGTTTGAGACTCTTCATCAGCACACACCCACCAAGATTCAAAACCAGGACCTTCTGGTTACCAGGTGAGCTAGCTCCTAGACCATTTAGCCACTGGGACCCGATCCAATGACCAAGCCGAGAATTCTAACTTCTGTGAATTCATGCAGCAGATCGGGTGTGGGGACAAATACTCGCCGCCAAAAACTTTGGCTAGCGGCCGCGCTATGTCGTGAATTGGCAGAAGCTAGAATTCATTGGCTGGCCATTGGATCGGGTCCCAGTGGCTTAATGGTCTACAAGGTAGCTCGGCTTGTAACCAGAAGGTCCTAGGTTCGAACCCGGTGGGTGTATACCGCCGAAGAGTCCCAAACTAGGACGAAACAGCTACCCAGTACTCCCTGGCAGGTTTTCCAATGGTTCTCTAACTGATGTCAGCTCATGATGAAATACTGTAAAAAATGCCTTAGAATGAACACGATATTACTTAGTTTAGTTAATTGGTGACAAGGATTTAGAATACAGGATGTACGCGGCGTTCCATCTTGTTTTGAGACTACTCGTCAGTTGGGTGTATGACTGTGTGTTCCTAGTGAGACTCAAACTGTCGCTGTGTATTTTCATATGCTAAGACTAAATAGAGAAAAGAGACGTAGGTGATGAAGATTCCTGGCCATCAGCAACAGCGACAACAAAAACAGATAACAATCAGCATAATTGGGAGAAATCTGAAAGAAACAACCTCCTTTACCCACCCACCCACCTACCTGGGAAGCATCGTTTCAACTACAGGTGGACGGAACTGATGAGGATATCAAGGTGAGGCAAGCTTTTATTACTCTCATGTAAGTCTGTGTGGAGATCAACAGCACTACTCAGCATGAAAAATAAGAGCCCGATTTTCAACTCCGATGTGAAGTCAGTACTACTCACTATACGGATCCGAGACTCGGAGCTGCGTCACGAAGGGTGCTTTGAACAAACTACAAACCTTTATCAACAGTAGTCTTCGCTCAAGATCAGATGGCCGACCAGAAAAGATCAGCAACAGAGATCTCTGGCAATGAACAAACCAACCCATCCTGCAGCAAATATGCAGGAATAAATGGAGAGGGATTGGCCGTTCTCTGAGAAAACAAACCATCAAGTGAGTGACATTATACACCAGGCTAGCGCTCGAGTGGAACCCGGGCGAAAGGGAAGCGGAGAGTTAGTCGTCATTGCGAAGATGACATGGAGGAGGTCATGCAAAGAGGAGGGGAAAGCATGTGAGCAGATGTGGAGACAGGTGGAAACGTTGGCAGACAACCGAACGTAATGGAGATATGCGGCTGAAGCCTGATGTTAATAATAATAAGCCTACATATAGCATGTCGATCGAACGTCCTATTGTTATTGTTCTTCTGGGGTTCAATTGGGACACAGAGCTTCAACAGCACCTCTCCACTTTGCCCTATCCTGTGGAATCCCCTAAGGCCGCGCTGCAAACGCCCTTAGGCTGTCATCTCCCCTTCTCTCACGCTCTCCAAAACGTCAATCTCGGACATCCCACTCGCCGTTGTTCATTTGAGTTCCACCTGATGGTCTGACGCTCCATGTCATTCGACGATCTTCTCAGTACGTGTTAGGTCCATCTCCATTTGCTTCTAAGTATTTGTTGACCAATCAGCTCTTGTTTGGTTTGTTCTCGGCCAGAGTTTCCTGTTGATAATTCTTCCTGGCTGGCCACTGGATTTTCAGTATGGAGCCGGTGAAGTGGGCAGCTGTTGACGATTGTTGGAAATAATTTTAGTGACGCGAATAACCTGTTTCTGACGCATAAAGGAGAAATAACTGGCTTAACATTGGTGCTGAAAATTCATCTAATATTATCAAATCAATGTGAACCGTCATGGAGACCTACCTGAATGATAGAATTCAGTCTGCACCGAAGAAAGGACTAGACACATCACACTAGTTACTAGTGTCCAGTCAAAGGAACACCATATTCTAGGGACTCATAAAAACTACAACTGTTCAAAATAACCATAGTTAAATAAATTGACCATTCTTCAAGTTATACAATCTTCAATCCGATACTGATCCCAAGAAAAGACTTT